GCCATGCCAAGAATCTGAAGGAAAACAAACAAAAAGGGCTTCAGTACAGGGAGGCTGCCAAAACTGCACTGCTGACCTGTGCTCACGGTGCAGCTGCAGCTGTAAAAGTAATCCTACACTGGTGGTATTTCTCAGGCTTCAACACTGATCAGGAAACAAGCTGGGTGTACGTTTTTCAGGCACACCGTGATGTCCAGAGATGTGTCTCTCAGAACACAGATGGAGGCAAAATGCTCTCAGGGCTCTGTCATACATGCAACATTTTCAGAATCAATACAAATAAGTCACTCTTCCTTTTTACCCAACAACTCATCCTTGTTGAGCTGGATAATTGTGACTGAAAGTATCAGATACAGGTATTCTCCTCCAGAAGTAGGGCAGTCATACAGGAACCTCAGGACTGTAACAGATTATGATGATGCCTCTGTATTTCTTTTTCAAGACACGTTAACCTATCCAGTTCAGTGGCCACAACTTGACTCATTTTGACAATTTCTACAACTTGCTTCCAAAATTTAAAACCCCGGTTCCCTAAGGTACAGCATAACAAACGGCTAAGCACGGGGACGCCATGCTGGCATTACCTGCATTATGAGGATGCACATCCCCACTGAACCAAGGACGTGCTTGTTCTCATCGAACCAGGTGACGACTCGCTCGTAACATCCCTGAAATGGGAAAGATGGGAACTGAAAGCTCAGGGTCACACGTCCCCTCCCTGTCCCCCAGCCCCGGGCTCCCTACCGTCCTCCAGAGCCGCTCGGTGGAGTTGCGCCCGCAGTCCTGGGCGTTCTCCGTGCAGCAGCGGTCGGGGACCGTGTTCTCCCCCAGCACCGGGTACCAGTCCGTGAAGTCGTTCACGCCGCAGCACTTCATCTGGGCCAAGAGCAAAGGACCCAGGAATCAACCTCCCCGGCACAGTCTGCGACTCACACACCACCCACCAGGAGGTTCTACTGCCACTGAAACGCTGGATGCTTGCAAAAGGGCTGCCACAGCACCTCTGTGTTTTCAAAGTGCTTTGTCCTCTGACCACTCAAAGCAAGTGGTACCACACCCAAAGTGTATGAGTCTTTGTCACAGAGACACGAGTCCAACAGCAAAGGTCTGGCTGCCAAGCTGTGGCTCTACCTGTGCAGGTTTTTCTGCCTCTCCTCTGTGCCAGATCACCTCTGTGCCTGCGACAGGCACAGAGAAGCTGAGACAGAGGTGGGCATCTGTCACCTGACAGAGGACACGTTGATCCTGGGTTTCACAGTGCTTCCTGGATGCTCAAGAGTGCAAAATCAGAAACCAAAGCTTGCATCTTTTAGAGGTGGCGTGGATGCCACAGTTAACAGACTGCAGCAGCCTTTATGGCAAAATGGTTATTTTTTTCTACTGAGAAAATATGTTACCTCTGCTTGAATGATATTCCATGCATTTTTCAGTCCAACATTATTTTCTGAATTGTATAGCTTCATACCTTCCTTCAAATCCTTCTTTGCACTCTCACTGACCTGCATCACAAAAAAACACAGAAGTCAATGCACTGCTGTTCAGGGGAAAGGACCAAGTGGTAGAGACCTGCATGCAGAGTGCATCTCTCCTGCCTCCTCTCACCACAAACCTAACAGGGGTATAAAAGCTCCACAATAGTCACCAAGGCCTTTCAGCACCTGCCAAGGCCTACTCTCACCCTCAGACTGCAGTTTTGCTAAATTCTACTAAGATAGGAGACCAAACAGATTCCCCTCTACTAAAAAGTCCACCATACAGTCCTCATCCGATCCAAACTAACTGAAGACTGATGAGCAGAAATCTGCCGAGCTTGCTTCAGCTCTGCCAGACAGCTGTGGGCAGGAACCCAGCCTGTCCTGCCTGTGACCTGTGGCCCACTTTAGTCTGCTAACAGCATAAAGCAGAACCCCAGCCTCCCAGCCTGAACACAGATATCTCTTGCACAGGAGCAGGGGGGTTATAATGAATGGCCAATACAAAAGTCAATTGCTCTTGCTGGGACAAGCGGATCCACTCCGCACCCTTGTCGAGCTTGCTGGGGCTGCTCCATCCAAGTGAGAGAGCTGGTGGCCTCTGGGATAACCTGTGGATGTCCCAGGCCCCTCTCCTCCAGCCCTGTTCAAGGACTGGCCCTAAGACACTAAACAGGTCTTAAGTAGGAGCTCCCAGGTCCACAGGATGTTCAGCTTCTCACAGAGACATCAAACAGCTCTGTTAAAAACTACCTTAGCCTTAGGAGACAGCCAAAAGGAGGCCCTGGTCATAGCTTTACTGCAGGGAGGAAACTGTAAAGCTCAACAAAGTCCTCTCCTGTTTGTCCACCTCACCACTCCCTCCTTCCCCTGCAGAGGCAGCTCACAGAAAACAGCTAAGATCCCAAGGTTAAACCTCCACCGAAGTGAAGGGCAAAGAGGACCCACACACCCCCATCAAAGAGAAGCAAACTGAACCTGGTTTACATGCAGTGCAGATAATGAAGCCATGCGGCGTGTGTGCTTACCTTGTCCATATAAACAAAGAACAAAATGAGTAATATCAGCTCTGCCAGGAGAATTATCAGCAAAACGATGAAAAACTAGAACAAAGGAAAAACAGACAGTGTATACACACTTGCCAGCTAGGGTAAATCTGGGACTACTTTTTTTTTTGCTTTTTTTGGACTGCTTTCACAGCACACAGCCCTGGGTGCCTCTTTCCTTCATACAGACTAGAGAAGAGATGCTAAACCCACTACCACAGAGGAGAATGGGATGTGCCTCAGGAGTGATTCCCTAGGAGGTGTGCTTTACCCACATCCGACTGCCTGCTGGAACAGTCATTCTATGACTCTGCACTTCTGTTCCCAGCTCCCTGAACAATCTGTAGCTGAAATCCCCCTTTGCAGGGGCATGCCGAGTATGAGCTCTGGCAGTTTCTCACTACTCTTCATGCCCACTAGTTGCCACTGTGTACCAGTGGACTGCCACGCAGGCATGGCCTCCCACACACAGCTACTGAGGGAGATGGGGCATGGAGTGTAGCAAGCTCTCAGATCAGAAGCTCATGATAGTTATCGTAGTAACTAAAAAGACTTTTGCAGAACATTAAGAACATAAACACTCTTAAAAGAAACCTCCAAAAATACAGCTGGTGTTGCAGTTTGTGTGGATGGGTGACACAGACCTCGTTACCATTTGTATCCTTCCCTAGCTGCAGAGCAGCCCCTGTACAACACACCCACCCAGCAGCAGACAGCAGAACACAGCTGCACATTTGTTCTCCAGTTTAGTTCTGAGGTGGTGTAAGGAATGGTGCCCAGCTGCTCTCAGACACCTCAGAAGGGAGAGTTTTACATGAGGAAAACGCACGTGCTCCTTAATGTCACACCTCCTGTGAGTCACAGGCTGTGACTGAGCTGGACACTGCCTGCTTTGAAAGTCCCCTCTCACTTTCTGCCACAATTACTCTCTCCTTCAGGTGGGGAGAAGCACGATGAAGCCTCCTGGGTTTATGCAAGAGGAATGGCCCACACTGTTTTACAAGAGGGGTTCCCAGCCTCTGTGCTTTAGCACTGGACAAAGACTGCCAAGGATCAGATTATTATATTTTTTTTATGGGTAGTGCCTGGCAGAGACTTTGACTTCTTAACTTTGGATCAAATGGTTCCCCCCAGCCTCTGAGGAAGGCCTTAGGTAAGGGCAAAGCAGAAAATAGCCATGGGAGGCCTTCAAAGCAGCTGTGACAGATTTTTCATCCATCCTCTGAACAGCCATTTCCGGAAGGACTATCCAGGCTGACCCTACAGCTCATCTTTAACCCCCCAGAGGAGTCAGGCAGTGATGTGCTTTGCATCTAACACATTCGGGCACACAGTAACACGTGTACATTTGCTAATTCCCCCAGCAGATGGCTGTGAGCCGAGCTGTGGGATGCCAGGCTGCAAGCATACAGCAGGCTGAAAGCCAAGGGCAATGCTACAGTGAGCCACAAGACTGTTTCACAATGGTCATTTAAATAAAAGAACAACAAAGCAACCATCACTGGTCTTAGTGAGGACTACTGATGTCTCACACTCAGCAGGAGGCACTTGTTTTCCTTGATAGCACCGAGGCAGCCCAGGAAGCCGGTCACCATGATGACTGTGCCAATGGCAATGACCAGGTTGGCAGCTGAGAGCGACGGGAAGCTGGGAGAAAAGGTGGCGAAGTTCCCTTGTGACACTGACAGCCAGATGCCCACACCCAGCAGTCCACAGCCACATAACTGCAACGAGACAAGCAACAGAAAGGGTTCACATTAAAACAAGTAGCACTGGCACTTCCTCTCTCCCACTTCACCCCCCAGAAGGAAAGAATTTATCAAGCAAATTCTCAGGTAACTGTTTTGCAGTAATGGTCTCACTGGTTTGATGCTGAAACAAAAGTTAAACATGTTCTTGCCTAGGCTTGTTCATGTTTCCTGTACTTACATGCCTATTCAAAAGCCACTGGATGGCAGAATTCTCTTTTTAAAGACTCAGCTCATCTAACGAGGGCTACCCACTGACCTCCCAACAGCACAACACAATGCAATTTTTCTGTAGGAAGATAAAACCCCATTATTTGAAAGAATGCTCCAGTGCATCTATTTCTACAGTATCAGAACATCCAGATGTGTATTTCCATCCTAGGGCAGGCAAGGAAGTTCTGGAGATAATTACACTTGGTAGTGTTATTGCTTTCCACGTGCCGTAAGACGCCCGGTCCCACCCGCCAGGCTGGGTTTGGTACAAGCCCTCACAGCTCCCCTGGGGTTTGCCAGTGTGCAACGGCACAAGTGTCAGATGTCTGGCTTTGTGATCCACAGGGAGCTCAACTTTTGCTGCGGTCAGTGGGGGAGCCTGGAGGCAATGCAAAGCTACTCATGGAACAACAGTCACTTCTCCCTCCTAGCAATACCATCTCTGGTTGAGGAAGTGGGGTTCCCCACTCTGGTGACGGGGCAGGTCTTCAGAAGAAGTGCTGCCCTACAGTGGGCCTAAACCTGGCCACAATTTCCCACCTGATCTGAGATCACTGTGCAGGGGAATCAGGAGCTAGCTGCACTTTCATTAAATCCATGAAACTCACATCACCTTCGCTGGGGGCGGGATCAGAGTGCACACACACGTCCCAGCTCGAAGCGTTTTGCTCCAATTTACCTGGACCACTGTGTGAGGAAAACAAGCAGCACCTAATCATCACCCAGTGACACTGCAGAGCTGCTGGTGTTCACCTGTCAGCAGTGTGGGAGAAGAGGAACAAAAGTTCCCGTGATTTTTAGCAGCAGGGCAGATAGTTTAGTGTATGACCAGCTCCTTTTTTATTATTTTGAAGAAAACATGAAAGAAAAACTAGAACAGTGTCTTCTTTCATTCATGTCACCCTATCTACAAGTCAGGCTTATGTGTTCACAGTCCTGTGCATCATCATCTTCTGTTACTTCCCCTGTGATCTCTTTCCTACCCTTGGAGCCCCTTTCCTAGTCCTCTTGAAATTTTTGGAGCTGCTCTGCATCTAGGGAGATTCTCTAGTGTGGTGCAGAGCTGTGAGCAGCAGACTGGTGCAGGATGCTCACAGGCATTCCATGGGAGGCAAGGCAAAGCATCTCCCAGGGTACAGCCCACAAGAGCTAATGTCATGCAAAGCACAAAAATATGGGGTTGTGTAGGCAGAGAAAGAGCAAGAGATGGAGATTAAAGATACTGCATTGGTGGTTCTTTCCAAGCCCCCTCACACCTAAGCATTAGCTTAACAACCTGGAAGAACACCCCACAACTGTCTGAACTCTTGGATAACACAGAGGAAATTGTCAGCATTCCTGTGAGGAGGCTGGGAAACATCTCTGCTTCCAAAACTCAACACATAACAGCAGAGAGAGCTGGGGAGCTCTGCAGCACTGGATGGGGATAACTGTTGCAGCACCTGCTTGCTGTAACAGCTGGATGCAGCTGCAAGGTCAGGGTGCAGCAGGAAGAAGTCAAACAGCTGCCTCCCCCCTGAAGAGACTGGTCACAGAGCATAAACACGCAGGCGTGCAGCAGGGAGGGCTCAGGACTTTCATCTCTTGCCCCAAATCCAGTCTTTCCAATTAACAGTCTTGAGGTGGTTCCTCCTTACCTTCCATGGTAGGTCAGCAAGGGCAATGTGACCTTGGAGCAGCAGAGAGCTGGGGGGATGCAAACCAGGAGTCTCCTGATCACACCCTGCTGCAGGAGCCAGGGGACATCACCACGGGTTTAAAGTGCCTGCAGCTCATGGGATCAGTCACCCTGCTGCTCCTGCTTCACAGGCCATCTGCTCTGTCCTTGAACTGCTGCAGCCTGGGTGCCCCCAGCCCTCCCAGGAACCCGCTCTGTGGCTCAGCAGCTTCAGCTCTGGATGGGAACTGCAGGCAGCTGCTCAGGCTGAGAGCTGGGTGGTGCAGGAGGTTAGAAGCTGTGCTCACCACTCAGCATTCACTTAGGGCTTTAGGTGGCATTCCCAAGCTGCCAGGGCTGTACATTGCCAATAGCTGATGGCACTTCAGTGACTTCATGACACTCCATGGATGAGACTGTAAATGTTTCCAAAGAAGTTTCTACCAAAGGCTGAATTTGTTCAGTGGAACTTTCCTTCAGAACCCAAATTCAAACTTAAAAGGTTATTCACAAACACGCTCCTTGGATTTTCATATTCCATGAGGCTCAGAAATCACAGCCCCAGCTCCAGTGTTCTGGAAGAGGGCAGTGAACGCTGGAATCATCAGGCCAACAGATCACTGCAGATAAACGAGATGTTGGCAAGAGCAAGACCAGGGCAAAAGGCTTATGGAGGAAGGGCAGTAAAGGACAAAAGGAGCACGTGCAGTCAGTAGATCACCCCACGGAGAGCTGCACCACGGTGTCAAACACCAGTCGTGAGGACAGCAGTAAAGAGGCAGAAGAAGGAAGCCCTTACCAGCACTTCTTTACCTTTTGAAAAAGACAGCACTAATTCTTGACAGGGATTTGGTCTAGTAGAAAAAGGTGGCTAGGAAATGACTCCAGAAGGCTGATGTTTATGTGTGTTTAGGCAAAGTCTGAAGCAGCTGATTTCTTAGATGAGAGAGGGGAGAGCTCCCCTCAAGCACAGGAAATAAAGAAAGCATCAGACTACTGGTTCTCCATGGGATGGATGTGAAGACAGAAGAGGACCAAGAGCAAAAGAAGAATCAAAGCTGGAGAGCAGAAAAATAGAGAGATGGCCTCTGTCCCTCTGAGAAGGGCAGATTCAGGCTGGATGTGAGGAAGCAGTTCTTCCCCATGAGAGTGGTGAGACCCTGGGATGGGTTGCCCAGGGAGGGGGTTGAGGCCCCATCCCTGGGGGGCTTTAAGGCCAGGCTGGAGGAGGCTCTGGGCAGCCTGATCTAGTGGGAGGTGTCCCTGCTCATGGCAGAGGGGTTGGAACTGGGGGATCCTTGTGGTCCCTTCCAGCCCTGACACATTCTGATCTGTTTTAGCAGAGGACTTTAGAGCCCTAATGGCTCAATGGTTGGACTTGATGATCTTGGAGGTCCCTTCCAACCTAAAGGATTCTATGATTCTAAGGTCTCAGTTCAGAGACCCTCTACATGTATATTTCCATGCAAGAGAGAGAATTTCTTCACTTGTTCGTGTAGCCACCATAATATTTTGGTAAACTCAGGAGCAAAACACTTTGGTTTTGGGCAGGATACCAGCCACCTGCTGCACCTTCACCATCCCACAATGCCTCCAGCAAGCAAGGAGCATTTGATGTGAAACATCTGCAACAAAGGTCTTGTGGATCAGCAACACAGCTGGGCTGTCCCTAGGCTGACCACCATGGAGGTGCAGTTTGAATGCCACTGGAGGGAGAGTCCTTTACAATGCCACACGAGGTGGTACATCAGCTGAGGCAGAAGATGGCCACGTTTGCTCCTTCTCTCTGCAATTCTCACGTCCCGCCGAAGCCAGCCATGGAAAATCTCCTCCCCTGCTGCTGCAGTGCCTGAGCTGGCACCGTGTGATCACAGTGCCCTCAGAGCCTCCTGAGAGCTCCCATCAGTGCAGCCCCACAGCCCCAGCACAGCCTCTGCACTGACCCTGCTCTCATCGTGCCCGACTCCAGCTCCAGGGGGCAAGCTCAGGAAAATGCTTTTTTTCATGGACCTTTTACCTGCCAAAGAGATTTCATTGACAGAGAAAAACCAATGGAGTCACGACCTGTTGAGCTCCCCCAGTGCTCTAATGTTAGAGCAGCTGCATTAAAGCCTTTTGAAAAGAACTGTATGGCTGTTCAAAACAATATGCTCAATTCCTAAGTTCTGTATTTGCACAAATGCAGTGGCATGTATCTGCAGTACTTTCTTCTGAGATGTTTGTCCCTGTCTGCTTATTCATGGGCACTTTCTGCCCCACAAAGAGCACAGGTAGATTCTCGTTAGTCCACTGGCCAACAGACATCATTTAGCATTCACTGGCATAACTCCACTCCATCTAGGCACTTCTGTTGGTCATGGGTTACTAATCTGCTCTCTTTTTTCCTGAAGCCTGCTCTACTTGCTTTCTCTCACCTTTTCTAGGGCTGCCACTTTTAGGTTTACCTCCTTCCATTCTTCTGAAATTACTGCATCACAAACTGTGCTGTTTATTTTATTAGCAGTGCCTGTCTGAAGCCTAACTGTGCACAGGTCAGGAGCACTCACTGCTAGTTACAGTAACTGCAAGAGCTGTTAATCACAGCTGAGCTTCAGAGTCTCTTGCCAGACATTCTTTTCTCCCAGCCTATTTTTTTTCCCAGCATTTCAGATACCAAGATAACATCACAGCTTTTATCTGGCAACACTGAGTTCTTGCCTAGCTCTTCTGATCTGAAGACTGGTTTGTCATGGCATACCAAAAACCCAGAATTTTTGCCCAGAACAGTGTTTCTCCCAGAAGAAGCCAGTGTGAATGCACAGCCGCACACAGTCTCCAAAACCAGCTAATCTTTTACAAAACACAGCAAGGTTTATGGCTGTGAAGGAGTGAGGCTTACTCGTCTTTGTTGGCTACCACAGGATTCCTCAGCGTGCGTGTAACAGGACGGGTGGATTCCCTGGAAGGTGACAACTTGCAGCACCCACCGTGTGGAAGTGTGTTTGTGTATACAGCTCTACAGGCAACAGTCGATGGAGCTATGGACACCAGCTCTGAACACGCCCTGTCTACAGGCACTGTCTTCCTGTGCTTCAGTCACTGACCTGCACAGCACAAATTCAGCTGC